CACAAGTACAATTAGCCTTCGTGAAGTAAAAGTTGATCTTCTGGCAGTTGATTTTCTTACATGATCCAGTTTTCTCGACTTTAAGACAGCTTCCGAATACATCTCGGTGGTGTGCATATTCCGTGGCTATTACGTAGATGAGCTGGATGTGTACAGAGTAGTTTAGGCTAGTCGGCGAGCTTGTCTTTGAGGTCTGGAAGTTTTCCGGTTCTCTGCCTGTGGAAACTTTTCGTAGTCGACATGCAACTGAAGATCTCTTTGTGCTGCTCATGGTCACAGGCCTCAAGCATGCAGAATGGACATGATGCAGCTATATATACAATGTAGAAGAGTTTTCCTTTGATAGAGTGAGCATAATAAATGTGGCACATCAGCAATTGCACTTCATTGAAAAAAATATGATGCATACAAGTCACAGTTGTGGATAAAATAATCTACATAAACTGGCAAAATTTGCTCCACCACCATCTTATGGTAGCAATGACACTGCATCTGGTTTTGGCATTTTACTGGATTCTGCGTGTGGACAATTTTTAATTCATTATTACGAAAATATTACTTGTATTACATTTGAATTTTCAGTACAAAAGCCACTTACACCTCGTCTGAATGAATGTTTTGCTGGCAGTTTTCAAAACTATTTCAAAATCTGCCTTAGAAAAGTGCATTTCATGCTGTAGGCTCATCCAGATCATCTGTAGCTGTTTGCTTTAGGGCCAGACTGATTGTCATCGCCTATATTCTTGGTCTTTCGATAACGCTATTTTGTGCCGATGCCCTTGAGCCATGTAACCAGCTTTTCCACTGCAATGTATGGTTCGATCTAAAGTAAGCGTGTTGGCATTTTGTGTCTTGTATGTTTGTCATGTTGCTCTGTTCTGTAATGAGTTCCATTCCTGGGGCCTTCACTTTATCAGTTGTTTTACCTCAGCATGAATGTGCTATGCACTCTGCACGATAAGCTGATGAGTGTTGTGCTGAATTTTCAATGATCTAGGCCCACTGCACTACATCTCTTGAGTACGAACTGCCTCATGTCGTGTCCTCTTTATGATGGGCTTTTTGTCTGCATCAACTTTGCTTCAAGTACTGGAATGAATTTGTTCACAATTAGTCTTAATCATTGAGCCAAAGCTGTGTTTTTGTGCATTGTTCCTGAGATATGGTGTATATTTCTGGGTGAATTTCGAATATGAGAACCGGAAAACTGTTTAAAGCAGCCATAATCTGTCCCATGCAAACAAGCATGTCTATTGAGTATGCATCACAGAAATTGGGCAATTACAGAGACCGAGTACAGCAGGTTCATGCATTAAACCAAAATGAACTCATTAACAAGAGAGAAAGAAAAGAAGAAGATGAGAAGAAAGAGAAAATATAGAGAAGCGATGGCACGAAAGAGAAAAACAGAGAGAAATAAAAAGATGCGTAGAGAGAGAAATAGATAAAAATAGGTGAAAGAAAGAGTTAAAGAAGAGAGCAAGGGAGAAAGAGAAAAAGGGAAGGGAACAAAGAGAAGGATAGAGATAGAAAGAATGAAATTAAGAAAAAACGAATCAGAAGGTTCCAAAAAGGAGGTAGAAGAAATGCAGAGAAAGAAAGAGGGAAAAAAGAATCAAGAAAGGTCTCCAAATCTGCTCTTTCTTCAGGCTTTGCACTGCTACTATAATATTTAATGTACACTGTCATTTGAGATGCTCGTTAGAGATCTTCAGTGATCTTCCTAGTCACAATTCGTGTATCTTCAGTAATGCGTGTGCCTGTATCTGAAGTTTAACTAACTTTACAAAAGGGACAACCTATATTTCAGTATTATCAATTTCAATGTGCTTGCTTTCCATTTTGTATAAGATTTTTGCCATGCAATAATGTGCTAATGCAACTTTTTATGCTGCAACATGCATTCAGTGAAAGCTAGAATTCCAGAGCATGCATATATAGGATCTAGTATTTTGTTCATTTTTGAATGATTCGTGGAGCACGAAATACGAGACAAAATAAAAAAAGCACATGCAGGAGCGCCGTGTGCTTTTTTGTTTTCCATCCCTTATTTCCCTCTCTACAAACTATTTCAAAATGAATTATGACCAACAAGCCCAGCTCGTTGTTTTGTTATTCTGTTTTGCATATTGTTTTCTGAAGTATTGTTATTGTTCTTTCACATCTAAAGTATGTTTTTGTTTGTCATTCTAGCTCTTTCATATTGTTTTGTGTTAAAAATTGACAAGGTTGCCCTGCTGGAATACTTGTGACAGTATATCGTTGTTTGTCCTATTTTTCATTTGGTACAAGCTTATCATAATGTCATGTGTAAGTGCTGCAATAAAATTTTGCTGTGAAACCAAAGTTTGAATGTTAACATCATTTTTGTTCAAAATGTTCCAGGTAAATAAATATCTCAACATCTAAATTAGATATTTTAGCGCATTTTTTTCTCAAAATTAAACGTCCAAACAATGTATCCAACATCCGGCATTGGCGTTCATGCAACGCCCTTTCAGCGTAAAAACGTGTAAAAGTACATTTGTAATTTCACGCATAAGGCTGCACAAGTCGGCTTCGCCGCTGTGCTCAATCGCATAATGGCGGAGCACAGTTGCAGCATTCAGAATTGTCAGTTTAAAAAGAGAAATAGAAATAATTTTCGGTAAATAGTGCAGAATATACTGAAGCTAGGTGCCCTGGCTCTGCTAAAACTATAATATGAGGCCAGAAAATGAGCAGAAAATGGAAAGCGCGGGTATTCTTACGTAACATTTATTTATAACTGCGTGCTGATCAACAGAAAGTGAACCCCTCTCTCAAATAAACGGCAAGTGTGAACCATTACACGCTTGTTCGGCCATAAAGTTCAGCCTTACGTGGCACTGTGGGTCAAACACAATGTTACGAACGTTACGGGTAACGTAATCTAACTTAACTTGGGCCACATTGCTTCGAAAGTGGCTGTAAAAAGGCGGAGCGCTGGTAGAGCGTAGAGCCACGTGACTAGAGACATCTCACTCGAAATTTTCTAGGGAAAGCACAAAAAAGAATTATGGCAACTTGGGCGTGTTTTGGTGGCTTGTTAGTCCCTCCGGTAGCTCCAAAGGCGCACAAACGTAATTAGCGGCAATGCAATGGTGGCGCCATCCATGCGCTTTATGACAAAATAAGGCACGCGCTCCGTTTCTTTTGAACAGTGCAGAGCTGGATTGTGGGCATCCCCGTACCATGTGGTACAGGGTGGCTGTTTTAATGACGCAGAACCTGCACTGTGGCGCGTATGTGTCGGGATCTATCTTTGACACTATGTACGGACTGGGGTAAGACAAGGTCTGCAGGCGACGCCACGCTACCCGAGATTCTTTACTGGGCTTTGGCCCCGGGGGCGGAAGTTTCCGTCTTTTGAGTCTTTGATGTTCTAGAATATCAGTCCATGTTAAAAGCGGCTCCATACGCATAGCCGAGGGTGGAGCACAATACACTGTAGAGTGGGAGGCAGCTCTGTCCAGCTTGGATCCGAAGACCCAAGAGGCCCTCGTGAGACGAGCGAGGACAGCGGCCCGTGCCAATGGGATCCCGGACTAAAGATCCCACTTCACCGACATTGCTTCTTCGGCCACAAATAAATGTTTTGTTCTCTCTCTCTTAAAACGTTCAATGTCGCCCTAACACGACAGATGACGCCACGAAACAATTTTTTCACCATAGGAGTTTTTTTTTATTGGTACTGTCGTGCGCGGCGAGAGTGTTGGATTAATTCTGGACAAAGCTGATATATCATTTTTATATAAGCATAGTAGTCATGAAAGCTCATTACCACTTACCCACCACAAAACACTACACGTGTGAGCTCTATTTTTGAAGGTTGCTGAAGTGCCGTATGGATGGATGGAAAAACTTTATTTCGTCAGAAAGCAACTGAAGATGATTCCGTGTTAGATGGCCATCAACCCAAGGTTGGCGGCGACCTGTGTGGCCCACTCCACGACCCTTAACGGGACGACTGGGTCTGAGCTGGTCAACACGGCCTCCCAGTGCTCAAGAGAGGGATCACGCATAATATCCACCGGCGGCGGCACTATGCTACATTCCCAAAGTATGGGATCATATGTTGCCACAGCCTGACACCATTTGCATTGCGGCTTAATCTCCTCCGGGTACATTTTGTTCAAAACGTAAGGGTTGGGAAAAGATCGCGTCTGCAGTTTTCTCCAGACGCATTCCTGCGCCTTAGTCAACCGCTTGTGCGGGGGCGGATAAAACCTCCGCTCTAGTTTATAAGGATTCGTTATGTCATGAAAGGACACCAGCCCATCTCTCTCGGACCTCCCCGGAACTGGCGGCTCACCTACCCGGCTGACGAAACCTCGAGCATTCAGGTGAGCCGCCTCGTTCCCAGGGTTCCCAGAGTGTGCTGGTACCCAGACAATTTCTATTTCTCTCATTTCTCGTCCCGTGGCCCCATGCAGAAATCGTGCGGCGGTCGCCGATATTCTGCCCCTCGCCAGATTTCGGATGGCTGTCTTTGAATCACTGAAAATCAAATCTGACTGCGAATTAGTTATAGCTAGCGCTATTGCCGCTTCCTCTGCAGTTTCCGAGGACGTAGCTTTGCCAGTGCTGCGCGCGTGCTCGCAGGTGGTCATCTTGTGTTGCGCCAATACGGTCCACTTATATTTAGCTTCACTAGTGTTGTAGCCCTGTGTTCTATCTCGTTTTCTCCCTTTATTTATGGTTTAACCAACAGCGACGGTGTAAACCTTTGAGTACAGGGATTGAAGATGCAGATGACTTTATAAACAAAAAGCTTATCAGCTTCGCAGTAAATATCGCGTACCGTAACACTGGCAATATAGCCGGAATGTTCGCGGGAGATGCCTTTACCTTGCAGTGGACGTTATCAGGCCGATAACAATGATAGTTCAACCCGAACAGAGGGCAGATAGTTTGAGTGAGACGTACGGAATCTTCGTTATACGGTTGATTTCGTTGTATATGAGATATAAGGCACTCACAGGCGGCGGCGGCAGCTCTGCGGCGGTGCGAGGAAACCGACGAGCCGCTTGTGGTGGCCCTGGACGTCGTCGCTGCTCCGTGTACACTCGCGGCCGTCGTGCTGCTCGAGGCCGCGTCCTGCTGTTGCTGCTGTTGTTGCTGCTGCTTCGAGGACGCGGTGAGGGCCGCGGCCACAGCCTGGGCCCGGGCTGTGGCCCGCGCCGAGGCCTGGCTGCTGCTCGTACCAGATCGGGTGTGCTCTAGGCCTTGCCTGCGGCGACAAACGCATGGCATCAAGTCAAAAGCCTATCGTGCTCATCTGACAAGTTTTAGCGTGAAGCTGTTATACGATAGGCGGCATTATCTGCAATAAACAGGGCGCCAGCGAGTACACAAAAATATAAATATACACAGATAGCTTCATGCAAGTGCACCGGTCAAATGCGTATTTGTAGCAGCAGTTTTATATCAGCTGTGAAGAAGAAGATGTGTCTGCAGCAAGCAGCATCGCCAACGCCCGGCTTCGTTGCTCTGCCGATCGCTGGACGGTTCTTCACGCTGTCTCGTCGCTGTCTTTAACAGCTAATAAACCTCCTCACATTTGGTGGAAGGTGCTGTTAATCCCCGTTGCTACACCCTGGAGCTGCGAAGCCGCACGCTACCGCCTGTCATGACTGACAACGCCACTACATCGACGACTTCGCCCCAGTTCAACTGCCCTGGCCATCCTAGGCTACGGGACCCGAAGGTCTTCAGCGGTGCGGATGGGACCGACGTCGAAGACTGGCTCGAGCACTACGAACTGGTGAGCGCCAACAATAAGTGGAATGAAGCCGACAAGCTGGGCCACGTCATATTTTATCTCACTGGCGTCGCCGAATTGTGGTTTAACAACCACAAACACAACATCCCCACATGGAGCGTCTTCAAGACGTCATGTGCTGAAGTGTTCGGTCAGCCGGCTGTCCGCAAGCAGCGGGCAGAACAGCGCTTGCGCGTCCGCTCTCAGCAGACTGGCGAGACCTTTACCAGCTATATTGAGGACGTCGTCGACCTTTGTCGACGTGCGAATGACACCATGCCCGAATCTGACAAGGTCAAACACATCCTGAAGGGCATCGACGACGGCGCATTTCAAATGCTCTTGGCAAGAATTCCGAGCACAGTTCCCGAAGTCGTCAGCTTGTGTCAGAGCTACGACGAGTTGAAGAAGCAACGCACTCGGCAGCCTCAGCATGGTGGTGAGTCACTGTCCAGTTTCGACACCCTGCCAGACAATTCACCTTTGCTTCAGCAAGTCCGAGCCTTAGTCCGTGAGGAAGTCGCCCGCCAACTTTCCCTAGTGCCCTTCACTCACGAGACCACCACCCGTCTACCTGCCCCACTTCGCACTGCTATTTCGGAAGAGGTTGCCCAAGCTGTTCCTCTTGCGCACCACGAGCCGCCTCTATCCAGCCGTGTTCACTGCCAGCGTGTCGCGCAGCCGGTAGGCCCTCCTGTCGCCTATCCGCCAGCCGTGCAGCCTGTGGCCGCACCCCTAACGTATGCAGCGCAGCCTGTGGCTCCTCCTGTCGTCTGTTCGCAAGTGATGCAGCCTGTAGCCGCCCCGCTCACATATGCAGACGCTGTGCGTAGGCTTCCGCAACCGCCCTACACCACGCGCTCACAGCGCGCACACCCGGCTGCTTATACTACACCTTGGGCGGCACCACCAGTCGCCAATCCATGGAGGACGCCCGATAACCGACCGATATGCGACGCCTGCTTCACTCCGGACACGTTGCCCGCTACTGCCGCCGTCGACCTCAGACGTTCGGCGACTATGTCCGATCGTCGCAACCCGGCAGCCAACCCTTCGCGCAATACGGGCCGGTCTCGTCACCTCGCTATGCCCCTCCCAAGGACCCCGACTTCGTGACGCCGCGCACACCCTCTCCTCGTCAGCGATCGCCCTCCCCCATGCGTCGCCGGCCCAGACCTTCTGACCAGGAAAACTAAGCACAGAAGTTCAAGAGGCAAGAACTGCGCCATTTTCGAACTGTCTAAGCCCTCGCCCCTCTCCTGCTAACGTGGTCGCAGTAACTGTTGAAGGTTATTGTACTTTCGCCCTTGTAGACACCGGCGCCGCTGTTTCTGTTATTGCCGCTAATGTCTGCCGTGTATTACGTAAAGTCACGACGCCGCTTTCGGGACTGTCACACCACACCGCAAGCGCACAGCAAGTAACACCTCTCGCAGCCTGCACTGCAAGAGTGTCCATCGAAGGCATTGTTTACATTGTGGAGTTTATTGTCCTCGCTGTCTGTTCGCATGACGTCATCCTCGGATGGAACTTCCTATCCCGCCATAATGCCGTCATCGACTGCGCACGCACTGAAGTTGAGTTTTCACCCTTTTGTGATGTCCCATTACTTGACGCTCTTCATCAGCCGCCGAAGTTGTTCGTGCATGAAGATACCGATATTCCACCTGAAAATTTCGCACTTGTTCCAGTTTCATGCAACGCCTACACTGACGCTACAGTCTTTTTTATGCCTTCCGATATCTTCACGAGTCGTCGAGCTCTGCCGCTGCCTTTCGCAACGATTGACCTTGCCGCCGGAAGAATCAGTATGTTCATACTCAACCCGCTTTCCACACCTGTCACTTTGCTTGCGGGGGAATGTCTCGGCCGCGTGCAGGGTCTCGACCCTTCATCTTTGGTTGATGTCCCGGATGACTACTGCGACCACCCAAAATCACTGTCGGCACTCGAGGAGTCGTCCAAGGATACGTTTTCCAGCGCCATCGCCGACACCCTCACTCCCACCGAACGTGCCGACCTGCTTGATCTTCTGCATGAGTTCCGGAATTCTTTCGATGTGTCGCAACCTCAACTAGGCCGCACGTCGCAAGTCAAGCATCATGTTGACACCGGCTTACACCAGCCACTGCGTCAAAGACCATACCGTGTCTCCGCTGAAGAGCGCCGCGTCATCAACGATCAAGTCGAAGATATGCTTCGTAGAGACGTCATTCGACCATCTCACAGTCCCTGGGCGTCTCCTGTCGTCCTGGTGCGTAAGAAAGACGGATCTATCCGATTTTGCGTGGACTATCGTCGTTTGAATAAGATAACCCGCAAGGACGTATATCCTTTGCCGCACATTGATGACGCCATTGGCACCCTTCTTCTCGTCGCTAGATTTGCGGTCTGGCTACTGGCAAGTTCCAATGGCTGAAGCCGATCGCCAAAAAACTGCATTTATTACACCTGACGGACTATACGAGTTTAACGTCATGCCCTTTGAGCTTTGTAACGCGCCCGCCACGTTTGAACGACTTATGGATAATACGCTGCGTGGCCTCAAGTGGAATATGTGCCTCTGCTACCTCGACGATGTCGTGGTTTTCTCGCACGACTTTCCTGCGCACCTCCTTCGCCTCAGGCACGTTTTGACTTGTCTGACCAACGCTGGCCTGCAGCTTAACCTGAAAAAATGCCGCTTCGCTGCACGCGGGCTCGTCATCCTAGGCCACATCGTGTCGAAGCACGGCGTATTACTTGACCCAGCAAAACTTCGAGCAGTCGCAGAATTTCCCAAGCCGACGACCATGAAGGAACTTCGCAGTTTTGTAGGCCTATGCTCATATTTCCGGCGCTTTGTTCGCAATTTTGCATCCATCATGTCACCATTAACCCAGCTTCTTCGCGGTGACGTGAACCTCTCCTCCTGGTCCCCTGCATGTGACGTTGCCTTCACCACTCTGCGCCGTCTGCTCACCTCCCCACCTATTCTTCGCCACTTCGACCCGACGGCTCCTACCGAAGTGCGCACCAACGCAGGCGGCGTCGGGCTAGGCGCTGTCTTCGCTCAAAGAAAGCCCGGCTATTCAGAATACGTTGTAGCCTACGCTAGCCGCACTCTGACGAAAGCCGAAACTAATTACAGCGTGACAGAAAAAGAGTGTTTGGCTCTGGTGTGGGCGCTTGGAAAGTTCCGGCCATACTTATACGGCCGCCCGTTCGATTTAGTAACTGATCACCACGCGCTTTGCTGGCTCTCCACGCTGAAAGACCCTTCTGGCCGCCTTGCGCGATAGGCACTCCGCATCCAGGAGTACGACATTCGCGTCGTATACCGCTGCGGACGCAAACACTCTGACGCTGACGCCCTGTCCCGCTCACCTTTGCCACCAGATCTGACGTGCGAAAACACGTGCCTCCAGACCTTGTCATCGTTAAATCTTGACTCAATTGCCACCGAACAACGTCGTAACCCGTGAATCGCATCTGTTCTCGAATATCTATCCGGTACGCCCAACCTTCCGGTATCTCGATCCCTCCGACGTCAAGCTTTCCATTTTGCCATTTGCGATCAACTTCTCCATCGACGCAACTACTCTCCTGATGGCCGCCGGTGGCTACTCGTCATTCCACGCACTTTACGATCGCAGGTATGCGCCTCTCTTCCCGACGATCCACAATGTGACCACGCCGGGGTGTTCAAAACATATGAACGCCTTCGCCATCGCTATTACTGGCGCAGCATGTATAATTTTGTACGCAAATTTGTGCAGTGCTGTCCTGACTGCCAGCGACACAAATCAACACCGCTACGTGCGACTGGCGAATTGCAGCCACTTCCGTGCCCTGCCAAGCCATTTGATCGCGTTGGCGTTGACCTCTACGGCCCCCTTCCATTGACACCAGATGGCAATCGGTGGATTATAGTGGCGGTCGACCATCTAACACGCTACGCTGAAACAGCCGCTTTACCGAGCGCTACCGCTCAGGATGTCGCCTCTTTCATTTTACGTCAATTTATCCTTCGACATGGCGCACCGCGAGAGCTCCTTAGTGACAGAGGCCGCGCTTTCCTCTCCGAGGTCGTCGAAGCTCTGCTTTCGGAATGCCACGTCATTCATCGGAAAACGACAGCATATCACCCGCAGACTAATGGGCTAACGGAACGGTTTAACCGCACGCTTGGTGATATGCTCTCAATGTACGTGGCATCTAATCATAGCAACTGGGACCGTGTTCTCCCATACGTCACATTCGCATACAATACTGCAATACAAATAACCACGGGATTTTCACCTTTCTTTCTTCTTTATGGACGTGACCCTTCCCATACAATTGATACTCTACTTCCCTACCGTCCTGATGCTTCCGAATGTCCACCTATCTCCGATGCTGCTCGACAAGCCGAAGAGTGCCGCCAGCTCGCCCGTGCGTTCACCTCGGACGAGCAGCAACGCCAGAAAGAAAACCGTTGCACCTCTCTTCCGGATCCCAGCTATGCCCCAGGGTCTCTCGTGTGGCTCGCCATCCCATACCAAACTCTGGGACTCTCATCAAAACTTGTCCCCCGGTACGAGGGGCCCTACACCGTTTTAGAGAAAACCTCTCCGGTTAATTACCTAATTTAGCCAGTTTCCCGATCGGATGACATGCGCCGATGTGCACGTGACATCGTCCATGTTTCCCGCCTAAAACCGTATTATGAGCCTCTCCCTGAAACTTCTTAGGTCGCCAGGATGGCTCCTTTTTCAGCGGGGGCGATTGTGAAGAAGAAGAAGTGCCTGCAGCAAGCAGCATCGCCAACGCCCGGCTCTCTCGGCTCGTGCTTCGGTTCGTTGCTGTGCCGATCACTGGACGGTTCTTCACGCTGTCCCGTCCCTGTTTTTAACGGCTAATAAACCTCATCACACAGCTAACGCCCCCCCTATTTTTGGCGTACCAGTGATCGGGCGTTTCGAATGGAAATCTGATCTTTTATCGAGGCCAGCTGTCATTTCTCGTTGCCACGTGCCACTGTTACCTTTCAATGTCGCGTTTGATTGTTTTACTAATGGCACTCAGTCTCGCCTGTAACAGAAGTGTTACGCTGCTAAGCACGTGGGTGAAGATCCTATTCCCGGCATTGAGGAAAGGATGAAGTTAGCAGAGAGCATTGCACAACGCGCAAACGGACGGACTGACGGACGGACTGATGGACGGACGGACGGACGGACGGACGGACGGACGGACGGACGGGTGGATGAATGAATGAACGAACGGACGGACGGACGGACGGACGGACGGACGGGTCGGTCGGGTCGGGTCGGGTCGGGTCGGGTCGGTCGGTCGGTCGGTCGGTCGGTCGGTCGGTCGGTCGGTCGGTCGGTCGGTCGGTCGGTCGGTCGGTCGGTCGGTCGGTCGGTCGGTCGGTCGGTCGGTCGGTCGGTCGGTCGGTCGGTCGGTCGGTCGGTCGGTCGGTCGGTCGGTCGGTCGGTCGGTCGGTCGGTCGGTCGGTCGGTCGGTCGGTCGGTCGGTCGGTCGGTCGGTCGGTCGGTCGGTCGGTCGGTCGGTCGGTCGGTCGGTCGGTCGGTCGGTCGGTCGGTCGGTCGGTCGGTCGGTCGGTCGGTCGGTCGGTCGGTCGGTCGGTCGGTCGGTCGGTCGGTCGGTCGGACGGACGGACGGACGGACGGACGGACGGACGGACGGACGGACGGACGGACGGACGGACGGATGGATGGATGGATTTCTCTCCGCTTATTTAAGTACATCTTATATAAAATGCATGATGGATAGGTGTGGTGAATTTACCTCAGGTTCGCTTTGCATTTACCGAGTACCACCGCTACGTACTCTGCGGTAATGGCAGCGCAGCCAATGATACGTTCACATATAGACTATATGTCGTCTTCTTTGGGCGATTGACAAGTGGTTATTCCGACAGAGACCCTGTTTACAGCACAAACAACCAAGCAACACGAAGTACTGAACACACAACTATGTTAAAGCCATAAACGGCCCCTTTATTTTAGTGTCAAATGATTTGGACAAGGAGATAATCTTTGGAGCACCATCTGTACTCAACTACGGAGAGCAGTATGCGTTCCCAGTAACAATTGAAACGCCACCACAGGCTGTTTCCTCATTACCCGACGAAGGTTTCATGTGTTATGAGAGTATTAAGATGTCCTGGTTGCATTTCATCGTAGTGGGAAATTTCTCCTGTGCGTTGTTGAACAATAAAAAAAATCGCAGCATGCGCGTTAACTAAAAGCCGAATTCTCCTGTCTCTCATTCCCCATTAGCAGCCATTGGCATGTACATTGAGCGTTATCTGACAAAAAAGGGTTGCTACGTTATACTCGCTGGGCGTAAGCTCCTTGGTTTTAGAAAGGTTTAGCGAGCGTTGGGCCGCAGTCCCATGAATACAGTGAACTAGTATATACCATGACCTCGAGGTGGTTAAAGGTGGGAAGTAGACACGAAGCACAATCCGTAAGAAAGTGTGCGTGTGCCTCCTCTCGTTCAGTCCTTGGAATGTCCGCTGGATGGCGGTGCTTCTATATGAGGAATATATGATGAAAAGATGCGAGATGGTGGTACAGAGTGTTGAATAGGTGGACGAACGGACACACAGACAGATGCATGGACGGACGTACGGATGGCTGCACGGACGGATGGACGCATGGACGGACGCAGGAACGGATGCATGGACGAACGCAGGGACGGACACACAGATGGACGTGCGGACGCACGAACAGACGCACGCACGGACGGGCGGATGGACGCACGGATGGTCACACAGACAGACGCATGGACGGACGGAATCAAGAACAAATGGACGGACGGATGCTTCGCCCCACTCTCCATCATTCACCCCGTAGATATGCTGGCATTTTTTTTTTCCCGCTGCAATTTCACGTGCAACGTGCACTAGTAAGACGCGTCGTCGTGTAGCGTACCTGGTGGACAGTTGCTGTGCGCGGGGCAGGGTGGCCGCTCCGCCCGTGTAGCGGACGCGACCGTTTCTCGCCCGGTGCAAGTTCTCGGCCGTCATGCAGGTGCACTGGAGCTCGGCGCGACCCCGCGATGGTGAGCTGGGAGTCGACTGGGGCTTTCGCTTGCTGTTCTTGGATTTCTGCTGCAAGGATTCAAGGTGCACACAGTCCATTGTGTCAGCCACGCAACTGGTCTCTCAGACGTTCAATAATCGGTACGCGTACTACAGGTCTATAATTAAACGTCTACACGATGTATTGAAAAAGGGCAACCACAAGTAAAGGAGTAAGGCAAGTAAAAACAAGCAGCTAAACGAGGCGAGTGTCTAGTTTGCTTCATTGCGTATGAAGAAGCTGTAAATTGCGAAACACTTCCGGTACCTTGCCTGCGCGACATGTGGACATCTTAGTCAGACTCTAAAAGAGAGAGAGAGAGAGAGAGAGAGAGAGAGAGAGAGAGTACGTTTCACTCTTGGCCGAGTCCCTCTTTTACGCTTACATGACTGCAATTTAGGTTCAAGGACACTCCGACTAGAGTATGATCTCCGGGGATATTTCACGCGTTTCTTTTTTGTGAGTGGTTTACTATCAGCGTTAAATAAAGCCCGAAAATCGGCAAGCCTTCGCGATAGTATAGTGCGCACCGTTCATTTATTATGGTGGACAATCACGCATATATACACAGAGCTGCCCAACAAGATGCGCGCACCTGCTAATGGTGATAACTGGACGGTGTGCACTATACCCCCGCAAAGGTTTATTGGTGCTCGCAATTTATTTGAGGCGTATAGTACGTGGCGATTCAGGGATCATGAAAAGAGTCAAATGACTCTCTCTTTCTTTCTTTCTCTCTCTTTTACAGGACAAGGGAAGCGCAGAACGTAAAGTCGTAATCCTAACCATTTCCTCGTTTATCATTTATGGCGCACCGCTTTCCCCTTATGTGTTTCTGTTCTCCACGCAAATCTTTGTAAGCTGTCACCGAGAATCACGGAATGAAATGACTAACCACACAGAGTGTGACGTGTGTAGGCTAGAGTATTATAATTGAGACGTTGCTTGACATTCTGAAACGACAAGCACAAGTTTGGCTGGCTACTCCGCAGTTCTCGAAAGCACTGCGAAAGAAGTTGCTGAACATGAACCTTTTTTTTTTTTCGGTGCTCGTTTTCATGGCACCCCCTGTGCTCTGATTTTTTTTGTACGCGTTACAGTATATGGTTGTCAACGACACTGAAAAAGATAATCATCACTTCAGTACCTACTGCGTGTTTAATGAATGAAAGACTGGGTACATCCCCAAATTGTCCAAAAGGCTACAATAGCCAAAACTGCCTTCGACATAATCCTGTCTTCCGAAAAGGCACGCGTTTTTAAAGGGGCCCTGCAACGCTTTTTGAGCATGGTCAGAAAACTTTGCCGATCAGTAGTAGAGGCTCTCGAGAACACGCTAGCCAAATATTATAGCGCAGAACGTGGCCTGGGATTCACAACAAATTCTAAAAGTCAGCTGAAAGTCGTCTTATCGTCTCTCTACATAATGTTACGGGGGTGAGAGAATGAATGAAATAAATATATTTACAAAATATGCAGGGAGAGTCAGAGGCAGCTGCAGCCAAGATGGAAGAACAGCAGCAACAACAACACGAGCACGGCCGCTTTCATCATCTTCGTCGTCTATGATGCTCTTTCGTTGCCGATGTCGTGTAACATACACCCCCGCTGCTGGCAGCGCCGTCTCGGCGCCTAAAGGAGAGTAGGGTCATATGCGGATATATACGGTTTGAGGCGGGTCACGTGGACGACGTCAGTAGCGGGTGCGGACGACGATGACTGACTGTCCAACGGAGCAATCTCGTATGTGACATCGGTAAGCCGGCGTAAAACCTTGTAAGGCCCCGAGTAGCAAGACAGGAGCTTCGAAGAGAGGCCAACGTGGCGGCATGGTGTCCAGAGGAGGTCCAATGAACCTGGAGAGTAGGAAACTACTCTGTGATGGCTATCGTAGCGGGCCTTCTGAGAGAGCTGCGAGCCAAGAAGACGTTCCCGTGCGATTTGGCGGGCCACTTGAGCCCGAGCTGTGGCATCCCGGGCGTACTCTCTAACCGTTTGCGTCGTTGATGGGAGAAGAGTCTCGAAGGGTAGCGCTGGATGGCGGCCGAACAATAAATAGAAGGGGGAGAAGCCAGCGGTGTCGTGGCGGGACGAATTGTACGCCACCGTCGGCGTGCCACCGTCGGCGACCTGGATGAGTGGCACTGTGGGTGGCGTTAAAACTTTCCTAAGGCGGCAACGAAGTTCTGAATTCATCACTGATATGTGAGCCCCTGCGTCCACCAGTGCAACAACGGGTGTGTCATCTACTTCAACGTCAATAAGATTGCGTCGAGTTGGCAGCATGGTCAGAGGATTTGGCGGGCAAGTGGTCGATGCAGCATCACCTCCGGGAGCTGCATCATCTAGTTTTCCCGCGGCAGGTGGTCATTCGGCGACGTTGGTCGGCGAAATTGGGGTGAGCGAGACGATGGGCGATGGGAGAGCGGTGAACGGGACTGGTGAGCATGCGGAGATGGAGAGCGACGACGATATGGCGGCATAGAAGGAACGTCTTCACTGGTGGCCTGAGGTGACTCCCGGTAAGTTTGAAAGCGTCCATGATCCCTCTCTGGCCGATGGGGGTACCCAGAGGATGCCTAATGCCAATACCACCGAGTGTTACAATGGCGGGCCACGTGTCCGATACGGTGGCAGTTGAAACAAATCGGGCGATCGTCAGCAGTCCTCCACTCGGCTGGATTGCGAGGGCACGCCGGAAGGTTTTGGCTTTGGGCATACGAAACATGGGGTCGACGACGGTTGATCGGCTGAGAGGGAGCTGTAGTGCACTCGGGGGTCAGTCCAGCATTAGAAAGCTCTTGTCGCACAATGGCATGTACCAGTGGCACCATCTGAGGGCTAGAGTCACAGGCATGGGAGCACGTGGACGCAGGAGACAGAGCTTCAAGTTCACGTCTGATGATCTTGGTCACGTGCTCTGCAGTTAACGGCGTCTGTAGCGCAGGCCTGTCTTCGCACGACCAGGTTGCTGCTGTGTTTGGTAGTCGGGTGAAATTATGGGCAATACGTCGACTTTTTGCGGCCTCAAAACGCTGGCACTCCTTGATGATGGCATCGACCGTGTTGCAGTCCTTGCATATGAGAAGGTTGAATGCATCATCTGCAATGCCTTTCAATATGTGAGTTACTTTTTCGGTTTCTTCCATACCGTTGTCCGCTTTTCGGCAAAGGGCAAGCAAGTCCTGTATGTAAGTCACGTAGGACTCTGATGGCGTTTGCGCACGAGATTCCAACTCCTTCTTGGCCGCTGCCTTTCTACTCACAGACTTGCCGAAAAGGGCGCGCCTCTTTTCTTTGCACGCATCCCAGCTTCCAATTTCATCTTCGTGGTTCTCGAACCACACTTTTGCTGTTCCTTTCAAGTAGAACAGGATATTGGCTAACATAAGAGTTTCATCCCAGCGGTAATTCTTACTTGTACGTTCGTACAACGGCAACCATTCGTCGATGTCGACATCATCCGTGCCACAGAACGTGCCAGGATCTTTTAGCTGCGGAAGGACAACAGTTGTTGTTGTAGTCGCCTCGGCGGGAGCCGGTCCCTGGTTTGCCATGGTGGAAAAATCCAAGCGTCGGCCACTGCGGAGCTCCGTTATATCGTGTTGTACCCCGCACCACCACCAAATGTTACGGGGGTGAGAGAATGAATGAAATATATTTACAAAATATACGGGGAGAGTCAGAGGCAGCTGCAGTCAAGATGGAAGAACAGCAGCAACAACAACACGAGCACGGTCGCTTTCATCATCTTCGTCGTCTATGATGCTCTTTCGTTGCCGATGTCGTGTAACAATATGATCCTACTCAAACGACAATGGGTCACAAGCCCAAGTATCGGCATTGGCTGGTTTGAGCATGGCACACTCACGAGTAACTAAGGCTACTCTGGGAGACCCCGGACAGGTCAAGGTCATGCATGAGGCACACGTGAATTGTTTTCTTTCTCTGTTCCGTCCATCCCAGCTTAGCTTTCAGCGCTTTCGTCAGGACCGGCGAAGAGAAGAAAGCAATTGCTGGGTGTGAAATTCTTTGTAACTCCACTCGTACTGGACGGATTCCAAAAAAAAAAATATATTTGCAGTAGCCTATAGATGAGGCGATAAGCTCCTTTACTGAATTCATTCCATGACTACTTGGAAGAGTTTTGCAGGGCCCCCTCCCCTTAAGCAGGAGCCGAGGTCGCGGTTCCACCCATATCGAAGTGACGTTGAACACTGCATGTGCTACATTTGCTACACAATTAGCAAAACATACGAAGTGACACAGCAAATAATTTGACATACCTTTGGTGGTTCTAGCTTTAGCGAATAGGATGAAGACGCTTTTCGTGAAAACTTGAAGGCGGGAGACTGCGAAAAAAAAAAATAGAGGCAAACAACTTCACAGAGTGTAGATAGCATCCGACCAACCGCAAACGCACACAACAACGCACAAACTGGTCGGTTTGCAAGGCCATTTAATTATTCATCCAAAAAAATTACTACAAAAAAGTGGCATACCTTTTTCACAACTAATACTTTTCAGCAGTTAAAAGCTAGCTATTACCACGTAGAAAATATTACGAGTCATTTGTTACCGGGAGTAAAAGGTCCACTAGTAAGCCTCATAGATGAATCTATAAAACAAAGTCCATCGATTTTTCGGGACTCTGGACTCGAGACCCCGAAATTCGTATTTTAGCGATTAAATCGTATAGCGGTAACTCAATACACCGGAGCTTGTGCTACACGAAATCGAGTTTTTTTTGCAATAATTAGCTCAGCAAACAAATCACCAATTAATCAATTACCGGACTTAATATGTCAGGTTTTTTATAAATTCATTGTTTTCCTGCCAACTTGTCATCTTCATGACTATATACTAGGCCCGTAGTCAGGAATATTTTTCGTAGGGGGGTAGGGGAAGGGCACTTGCGGAATACTTTGACTATTTCAGAGTAACACCTGTATTCATTACTTATTTTCATCAAAACACACCCCTCCGTCAGAAATTCAGTATGAGTACAGGCCCCTAGGGAAAGCAGTCCTTGGGCCTCGTGGAGTTAATGAGAAATTGGGGAAACTCGGAGTCCACGGGCATCTGATGCTGGCTAGATCAACACTACCACGTAAACAGAAAAGCACCTCATGATTTTTTGAACATCAGAAGAGGCCAACATGTCATAAAGCAAGTGTCGGTAATTTTTTTAGGCAAACGGCCAAGTTGCATGAAGCCTGCACAACGAGGGACTGGATGGCAAACAAGCAGAATGGATGGGGGAGAGGTGACGAAGGGAGAGGGGCTCTTTGCAGACAGGGCATTCATATACGGCGAACTGACAATACTAAATAGCGCCTATACTAAATACGCGCTATACTAAATTAGACATCACGTTTCTTTCCAGTATGCGTGTCACAACGTTGCAATCAAACTTACGTCATACAAGCGAAAATCACATCTTAGTTCAAAACTGCCTTGTCAGCCTAAAAACGATGGGAACGTAAAGAAATGAGGGTGGGGTTGACGTCATGCTTTGGGCCACATAACACTGCCTTGCGAACCGCAAGTCGCCGGTCCCAGTTACAGAGGTATAGAATAATGGAAGTACAAGGTGCTCAAAAAGAAAGCGGGGCGAACACGCACGCAGCATTCTCGGAACTGCTTGGCGTCCAGAGGCGAGGTGAAGTTGAGACCCCATGTGTCCCCGGTGTGCGAGTCCTTCCAATAGACAAAGCACTCGGACGCCTGGCCGAGCCGGGTGCCTGAAAAGATGAGAGACGCAGTGGTCGGGAAAACAAAGTTACGACGCAAACAAAGCAACGAGTATGAGAACGCATGTCATTAAATCTGTTCTCGCAGTCACGGATGTTGCAAGACGAATCTAAATGGCACTGTCACTTCACAGATTGCACCATGCATCCGTAGTTTACCTGGTGCAAACGTAAATACAAGTTGAGCCGCAATCTAGCGATAAGTGAGAAGCGAATGAGTGAAAATTGCGTTTGAATCGTTTCAACAGTCAACGTAAGCGAACACTATCCAAATGTTCACCAACGTTAGCTAGTCTGCACAGCATGTGGGAAGATAGGGTTCGCAGATCTAAGGCAGCGCAGTCACCCTCATGCGAGTACGCCCGAGGTCGCAAAATGTTTTCTTGCGCCTGCCCATGTCCGGTATTTCTGAGTCCTCGTCTTCATTTGCACACAGCAGTCTACCTTCATATTTTTTTCTTCTCTGAGCGAACAAATAAGGGAATTCAAGTATGCTTTGGGACTTCAGGTATGGCTCTGCCACGAACTAAAAAGTCCCTTCCCCCTGATAAAAAAAAAATCGAGAAACTTCAGCACAAGCTACACCCATTTCGCGAGAGTGCACGTTCTAATGGGAAATTGCGTAGCTGAACGCACTGCCAAGTTTTACCAGTACGATTTTTTTTTCCGTGCCACCTTCAATAGGTCATTTCTTTGCTGCTTCCCGTTTCCTGTTGCATCCCCCTTCCTGTTGCATCCCATTTCCTGCCGGTAGAAAAACTAAGCTAACTGTGAATCCGCGCCACATTCACTTTGTTATAGAAGCATCATCTTTTTGTAGTGTCTGTTCAAAACAAGACGACGCGTTCAGTTATAAAGCCACACTAAATCTACACCCTGCAGCATCTTTTGTTATTATTGTCTTAACAACTTAATAGTTAGGCCCGCATGGGAAAGCAGTCTCCATTAGAACAGTCAATTCCAAAACGCAAAAGTTTTTTTTTACTGTTAATTGAATCCACAAATACATATGAATAAAGCGCGATTAAGGAGCGCAGAAGGTGTACCAAATGTGAACAAAAACAAACAAACAAAGGAAACTAAACAAAACTGCGGTAGAATAGATTGAAGTGCACGCACAATATGGTGCACGCGAAAGTCAAGCAGAACACTACTGTGCGCGAAACACACGAGTGTCATTTTTCATTGAGTGTGCATGCAGTGTGCTTTCACCATAAACGCAATACACGTATAGTTAATGATTGTGACGATTAAAGAACTCTCAATCCAAGCAATGAACGCTAAGGCAGACGCAAGCGAAAGCCCATGGTCTCGCGAGAAGCATATTAATGCGATAGCATTAGAGAGCCCGTGTCGCAGAAATTCCGCCGTCGGCGTTGGCCCCGTTCATAGTAAGCGAGAAATCGTCCGTGAGCGGCAAATCTCATTACAAAGATCGCCGCGGGAGGCCGCTACTTGTCCACGCGTGAGCTCACGATGACACTGAAAAAGCCGCGCATTTGAAAAAAAAAAGAAGTGCTCAAGGACACGAGGCGTGGGTGCCCTAGATTCTTTCCACCTGCAACCCCTCCCTGTTTAGCTTCCAGCGCTTTCGCCGGGACGAGAGAAAAGAACATGCAATTGCAGCATGGGACAAACCTTTGTAACTCCACTCGCACTGGACGCATTCTTAAATTTTTGCGGCGCTGAATTCCTGAGGCAAATAGCTCTTCTAGTAAATTAATTCTGTGGTTACTTGAAAAAAGTGTTTCAGGACCACTTTAAGAAGTTCTTTTTTTTCTCAGGTTTTAACAAAGGAGGTTTGATTGTAGATCACGCACACTCGTATTACCACGAGGATGGCCTGCGGAGAGCTTCGCCCTACTCGTCATCATTCACCTCGTGAATATGTTGTGATCTTTTTTTTTTATCTGGTTTTAACCAAGGAGGTTTCGTTGTAACATTGGTGGAAAGCCCGGAAATGAAATTCCGCATGGCTTATGAATACAAGCGACACATCGCAAGTATGATTCGCCGCATTCGTCTTGGTGTGGCCATCACAAGACGTTATGACCATACCATAGGCTGTATGCACCAGTTCTAATTGTGAACTATGGTAAGTGCCAGAAACTCAAGAGCATGTATATTTTGTACCTGCCCAGCATACACACGTGAACGGCACCACTTTATATCCTCTATTTGCAATGTTCATAGACTGTCGCGCCGCCTAGTGGAATTCAGACCGTCCTCTCATGGATGATCAGTAGGCAGACGCTTCCAATGCTGCCTTGTTCGGCGATGCTAGCGGTAGTGTTAACGCGTTAGCAAGAAACGGACACAAACCACTTTGTATGTTTTGTGCATCAGTGAATATACCGGACCTTCCGTGACACAATAAATCTTATTTGTTCTTGCGAGACGCGAATTTTTCGTGAGAATACGTTGCAATTCGCGCTTTGGATTATAGCCCGCAGAGTATACATATCAGCTTTGCGAGATTTTCTGCAGCCACTTTGGATAGTTAAATGTTAACGTCTGACCATTTCAGTTAAAACTCGCCTTATTTTAGGTGCGTATATAGCATTCGCTGTGCTTTTGTAGTGCATGAATCCCATAACATTCATTGTACGCGGAAAGTAGCGCGAGCTCACAATTTTCGCTTCCTAACCTTGGGCTACGCTGCCCCGCTTGTTTTTTTTTTACGTTCGTTGATAGATGGCAGCACACTGCAAGCGATTACTTTCTTGCCAGCTATCGGAGCAAAATGATCTTCGCACCCCCCGATTAACGTGGTGAGTGACGCCGTATTGGTGTTGTGCGTGGTGAATGACGCGTTGTTGGTACTATCGAAGTCGTTTGGCTGAGAGAATTCCTAAGATTACTTTCAGCAGTGATATTCAAAGAAAACGACTTGACGTCGAGAATTTTTTACTGGACGTAGTTGGTTGTCAACGCACTGAGAGTGACAGCGACGATGAACGATCAGCTGCTAGCTCACGAGCAGAGAGTTGCACTTCACGGCCCGTCATGCGTTAAGGTCTTTTCATGCTCGTAAGTCACTTTGATTATATTTATGTCATAAAATCCTTCAGCGAGCTCAAAATAAAAGCACACTTTTTCTTGTGCATTGAATGTATCCCAATTGCAGTAGATATTACAAAGCGCCGCATGCCGCCAACACGCTCGAGCTCGACCAGCGAAGCGAAATCGTTAGAGCAGTGAAATATGTAGTTACGGCTACACTCCACGCTAACTTCTCCTGCACTTCAATGGTGCTATCCGAACGACGTTGTTGTTCGACAAATTTTCGCAATTTTGACGTTGCGAAAAGCATAGGCGTGTATTCGTTTCGATATTCTTGTTTCGATCGCGCTGATGAAACCTGCAAGATTCCAAGTGCAGGGTAGTGCGCCCTGTTTGTCTGATCATGCCTGTGACAGAAGTGCTACTTAATGGGAAATTAAATGCTTGTGTTCCGTTGAAGAAACAGCTACACGATGCTTACAGCGCAAGTAACAACGGCGTAATATGTTTGCAAACCATCGCTACGTTAAACATTCGTCCCTGTGCAGCCGCGACGGCGCGCTATTCGCTAGTGGCCTACTACTGCGGCAAATCTACCAGACAGGCTCGGCACAAATAAGCCCGGACTGCCGTTCAGTTCGTACGTGAAATCTGGTTCGCGCAGTTTTCTGTAGCACGCACATGATTGCGCAAAACATCGTTGATACGCGGTCGATCAGCTGACTCCACCACCCTTTGCACTGCGGCAAGAAATTGGGTAGCGAACATTCAGCAGCTCCTATCGGTTGGGAAAGTACTTCGGTTCATTATACATTCATTCGGCGATCAATATTTCACGTGAAAGTGGCACGGGGAGCACGTCCACGCGTCCTATCTTTTCTTATGCGAGTTCACAGGTTGATCATCCTTCCACCGCCATCTTGGATTGCACGGCGCCCCCCGCCAATAATTGATTGATTTGTGGGGCTTAACGTCCCAAAACCACCATATGATTATGAGAGACGCCGTAGTGGAGGGCTCCGGAAATTTCGACCACCTTGGGTTCTTTGACGTGCACCCAAATGTGAGCACACGGGCCTACAACATTTCCGCCTCCATCGGAAATGAAGCCACCGCAGCCGGGATTCGATCCCGCGACCTGCGGGTCAGCAGCCGAGTACCTTAGCCACTAGACCACCGCGGCGGGGCAGCGCCCCACCAATAGGCCGTGGGCATTGCGATATGTATAGTAGGCCACTAACTGCTGAGGTTGTGTTGGATCCTTGGCACGATGCCAACAGTGAAACGGTTTCCATAAGAGCGGCTTTTATAAAAGCCGCTGTACTGTATGGGCGTCTATAGCACTGCGCCAACCTTACGGGGGAGTGTGCATACTTACCTCCTTACTTCCCGATCGTCATCCATTACTTCTCTTCTTCCCCTGTCCTGTCCCCCAGCGTATAGTAGGAGGCTTGAGCACACTATCACTCTGCCTTTCTGTGAGTAAACCTCTCTCTTTCTTTTGGCAACAACCGAGTTAGTTGGAAGAAAGGACAGCGAAGCGACTGACCTGGCTGTACGAGCCTGACGTCGAGTATCTTGTCGACCTGCGAGTTGTAAGCGGTGATGTGGAAGACGCAGTCGGGCGAGTCCTGGACGCAGGTAATGTTGACGGGCACCAGGTCCTCGGACACCTGCTGCCACTTCACGGCGCCACCCTGGCCGCTCACGTGGAACACCTCGGCCCACAGCCTGCGAATTTGCATCGCAAAGGTTTTCACTATAATTTTCTCTTCAAAAGCTGTCTAGAGTAATTGCGAAATAAAAGTTGTCTGTCATGTACGCAACTCAAATGGACAAAACCTCTTTGTGCAATTTGTAAAACTAGAAAAGCACTATTTTCGCTTTTTCTTGCAGGCTTTACCGGCTTTACAATGGAGGTCATCGTATATTTTGCGTGGCCAAACAACCTAGGTTTGCCGTTCAAAAATCGCACCTTGGAATTTTTGTCTCCGTGAGCTTCGCGCATGCTTCGGATTGCACGTGGGACGGCTCTCAGCTCTCCCATTGTACAGTACCAAGTCCAGTAATCGTTAACCACTTCTTCTGAACACGCAGCTGTCAAACGTTTGAGTGTGTGTTTATTGCGATCCCTAATGCCTGGACATGGTTTGCAATAATTTGTTCTGTACACGATGGAGGAAATTTCTCTAAACAGTCACCTGTCATGGCGCGTGCTCTCCCATAGTAGAGTACCAAGTTAACGCTCTAAATCGTTAACAATTTTTTTTTTCTAAGCGCATGTCTGTACTCGGCATTTTCAGGGTAACGGAACGGCTTTATGCTGTTCCATATTAGAGTACTTAGTACTCGTAAACCACTTTTTCTAGACGCATCTTTGTATTTGTGTCTTCAAAGTGGGGGCCAAGGGACGGCTTATTGCTCTCTCATAGTAGAGTACCAAGTACTTCAAATAATTAAACACTTTTTCTAAATACACAAAGCGGTTATTTTTTCGCTGGTGTCCGAGCAACTTCATGAACTCGTTCACGGCGTAATTGCGTAACTTTTGTCGATGCGGTGTCATCAAGTGTGAGTCCCAAAGGACGGATTTGAAGTCTCCCATAGTAAAGTACCGAGTACTTTAAATCGTTAATTACTTTTTCTAAACAAAGCTCGTATTGTTGTACATCTCTCATAATAGACTGCATCATACTCTGAATCATCGAATATATTTCTTTTTCTAAACACACTTCTCAAATGCCTGGGCGATTTCAGCCAAGTCTGAGTCTACGGGGACTGCCCGATACTCTCCCATAGTGAGTTCACATCGTACTCTGAATCACCTAACATTTTTTCTATGAGTGACTTTTGAAAGGGGTAAAGGAACAAATATGCGCAGTTCCGTTACTGCCTCTCTCAAAGGAGGGCACCTCCACAGTTCTGCGCAGAGGAGGGGGGTAAGGAGGGATTAAAAAGGATGGCGAGGAAGTATAGCGATAGGGAGAGGCGCAGGGACAAAGACGCGCAGGGACAGCCACATACGGAAGTAAGGATAAGATAGGAAAGATGAATACGGTCGCAGAAATCCGAGGACGGGGCACCACTCGGCGAGAGCTCCTGTCGGCGTCAGGAGATGGCGTAGGGCGAGCCAGTCGGCCAGAGCGGCGCTGTCGTCCGAGATCGCGGGGGCGCACCACCGGTCGGTACGAAATCAACATTTTTTCGAAACACACAACTTTATTGAGGTATAGCATGCAAACTGTAACCGCGACGGCTCACTGCTCTCCTACAGTAGGTATACAACCTAAGAATAAAAATAAAAATACAAATAAAAATACAACCACCGCTCCCAACACTGCTGCTCACCAGCCATTATTCTCTGCAACGGAAATCATGTGCTACGTGGTTTACGTTGCAAGTACAAGTACTTTTAAATGCGAAGCCTTTCTTAGCAAACTTCGGTGACTTTGAGCGTATCTATCTATCTATCTATCTATCTATCTATCTATCTATCTATCTATCTATCTATCTATCTATCTATCTATCTATCTATCTATCTATCTATCTATCTATCTATCTATCGATCGATCGATCGATCGATCGATCTAGCCACCTAAGACATTTAGCTCTCCTGTCCGGTTCCATAATGGTATCGATACCAAACTTGGTATGGCATCATATAACTGTATGACGAACATATTTGGCTAGTCAAAACAGGAAAACTATGACATGTATGTCATGAATGTCACGATTTACAATTCATGGTCCTGCTGCATTTCCGGTGGTTTCGTTGACATGACATGTTTCAAAACCGGTATGGTATGACATGGTATGGTGCGGCGATGGCGTAGTGGTTAGAGAATCCGCCTCGCATGCAAAAGGTCCGTGGTTCAAATCCCGGTGCTGTGCAGTTCCCAAACAGAAAAAAAAATCCGCGTGGTGATGGAACTGCATTAAGAGGCCTGGTGTGCGGACTCCCCGCGGTAACCACCGCCGGGAACGCACTCCCTCACCAGAGAAGGATTGGCCACCCTGGTGCAGTACCTGGCCACTACCTACCACATGCATACGACAAATAACTCACGGCCCTCAGTCCCCAGCAGCTGCGAAGCAACAAACCACGGTGGCGGTAAGATCTGCAACGCAGCAGAGGGCGCTAAGAGTCTCTGGATCCGTATAGGCCGCCATTGGAACCTGAACTTGGCAACGTTTAACGCTAGAACCTTATCTAGTGAGGGAAGTCTAGCTGTACTATTCGAGGAGCTAGAGGGTGTTAAATGGGATATAATAGGACTCATTGAGGTTAGGAGGACAGATGAGGCCTATACGGTGGTACAGAATGGCCACGTTTTTTGCTATCGGGGCTTGGCAGACAGAAGAGAACTGGGAGTGGGGTTCCTAATTTTCAGAAACATAGCTGGTAACATAGAGGAATACTATAGCATTAATGAAAGGGGGGTAGGTATCGTAATTGAACTCAATAAAAGATACAAGATGAAGGTGGTACAGGCTTACGCGCCTACATCCAGCCATGAAGACGCTTCAGTTGAAAGCTTCTATGAAGACGTGGAATCGGCAATGACTAAGGTAAAAACACAGTATACTATAGTGATGGGAGACTTTAATGCGAAGGTAGGGAAGAAGCAGGCTGGAGACCAGGCAGTAGGAGATTATGGCATCGTTACTAGAAACGCCAGAGGAGAGCTACTAGTGGAATTCGCAGAACGCAATAATTTACGGAGTTTGAATACCTTCTACCGAAAACGAGGAAACCGCAAGTGGACATGGAGGAGCCCTAATGGCGAAAATAAGAACGAAATAGACTTTATAATGAGTGCACACCCAGGCATCGTGCAGGATGTGGAAGTGGTTGGCAAGGCACGATGCAGTGACCATAGAATGGTACGGTCTCGGATTCGCCTAGACTTGAAGAAGGAACGACAGAAACTGACACGCAAGAAGCCAGTCAATGAGCTAGCACTGAGAGGGAAAGTACAGAAATTCAGAGTGTCACTTCAGAACAGGTACTCGGCCCTTAGTGAGGAAACCAACCTTAGCGTAGATACAATGAATGATAATCTGACGAGTATCATTACGGAGTGTGCAGTAAAAGTTGGAGGCAGGGTAGGTAGACAGGACACTGGCAAGCTTTCCCAGAAAACGAAGAATCTCATTAAAAAGCGTCAAATCATGAAAGTCTGAAGTGCAACAGACAAAGTAAAACTGGCAGAGCTTTTGAAGTTGATTAATGGACGTAAGGTATGCGATGTAAGAAGGTATAACATGGAGAGAATTGAACACGCTCTGAAAAACGGAGGAAGCGTCAAAGCAGTGAAGAGGAAACTTGGGATAGGCAAAAGTCGGATGTATGCACTAAGGGGCAAAGTAGGCAAAATAACTACCAATATGGGTAGGATAGTTAAAATAGCGGAGGAGTTCTTCAGAGATCTGTACACAGTAGCAGGGACAACCACGACCTTAATAATATGAGAACTAGCAGTAACCAAGATGACATCCCACCAGTAATGATAGAAGTCAGAAAAGCTTTGGAGAGCATGCAAAGAGGCAAAGCTGCTGGTGAGGATCAGGTAACATGAGATCTGCTGAAAGATGGAGGACAGATTGTGTTAGAAAAACTAGCCACCCTGTTTACGAGGTGTCTCCTGACGGTGAGAGTACCAGAGTCTTGGAAGAATGCTAACATCATCTTAATACATAAGAAAGGAGATCACAAGACTTGAAGAATTAGAGGCCGATCAGCTTGCTCTTTGTAGTTTACAAAATATTTACAAAGGCAATTGCTAACAGAGTAAAGGAAATATTAGAATTCAATCAACCAAAGGAACAAGCAGGATTTTGAACAGGCTACTCAACAATCGACCACATTCATACTATCAATCAGGTAATAGAGAAATGCTCAGAATATAACCAACCACTATACATAGCCTTCATAGATTACGAGAAAGCGTTTGATTCAGTAGAAATATCAGCCGTCATGTAGACAATGCGGAATCAGGGCGTCGATAAAGTATATATAAATATTCTCGAAGAAATCTACAGGGGATCAACTGCTACCATAGTGCTTCATAAAGAAAGCAGCAGAATACCAATCATGAAGGGTGTAAGGCAGGGGGACACAATCTTCCCAATGCTATTTACCGCGTGCTTACAAGAAGTTTTCAGAAGCCTAGAATGGGAACAGTTAGGGATAAGAGTTAATGAAGAGTACCTTAGTAACCTGCGCTTCGCCGATGACATTGCATTGCTGATTAACTCAGGGGACGAATTGCAACTCATGATTACGGAGTTAGACAAGGAGAGCAGAAAGGTGGGTCTTAAAATGAATCTGCGGAAAACGAAAGTAGTGTACAAAAACCTCGGAAAAGAGCAGCGCTTCGAAATAGGTAATAGTGCACTTCAAGTGGTAAAAGACTGTGTTTACTTTAGGCAGGTATTAACCGCGGAGCCGAACCACGAGATTGAGGTAACTAGAAGAATAAGAATGGTGTAGAGCACATTTGGCAAGCACTCTCAAATTATGACAGGTAGATTGCCACTATCCCTCAAGAGGAAGGTATATGACAGCTGTATCTTGCCGGTACTTAGCTACAGAGCAGAAACCTGGAGGCTTACAAAGAGGGTTCAGCTTAAATTGAGGACGACGCAGCGAGCAATGGAAAGAAAAATGGTAGGTGTAAGCTTAAGAGACAAGAAAAGAGCAGAGTGGGTTAGGGAACAAATGGGGGTTA